ATTCTGTTGGAGACCAAAGATTGGTCAGATAAGATAAGAGAGCCAAGAGAGAGACACGTCATGAGACTCTAGAGAGGAGAGAATATCAAGAAGGAGAGAGGTGGACAATGTCAAAGGCTGCAGGATAGGGAGAAAGAAAAAGCCATTGATTTGACAATTAAGAGATCATTAATAACTTTGGAGAGAGAAGATTCAGCTGGGTGATGATGTTGGAAGCCAGACTGAGAGTTCCAAAGAGAGAGGAAAGGAAATGGAAGCACTGATTGTAGCTTCCTCAAAAAGTTTAGCTAGCAGGCAGCTAGGTGGCTCAGTAGATAGAGCACCGGACCTGGATTCCAGAGGACCTGAGTTCAAATCCGGCTTTAGACATAACACTCACTAACTGTGTGACTCTGGGCAAGTCACTTAACCCCAATTGCCTCACACACACAAAAAAAGTTTACCTAGAAAAGGGAGGTGAGATACAGGAAGACGGCGAGCGGGATGTGGCTCGAGGGACGACTTCGGAGGATGAGGAGACATCTTCCTTCCCTCTTCTTCATAGGCAGTAGGGAAGCAGCCAGGAGACAGGGAGAGGCTGAAGATGAGTGGGAGTGAGCTGGCGAAGAGGGGAGGGTGAGGAAGAGCATAGCATGTTGGTGGGTTGGCCTTGGCAAGGAGAAGGGCTGCCTCTTCCCATGAGACAGGGATAAAGAAGATAATGGGGAAAAGCATCTGAGTGAGAGGAGAGGACAAGCACGGGAGGAATGACGCCATACCAGGGGTGTTCAGAAGAATACTCAGGCAGTGTGGTGGAGAATGGGTCAGATTCGATGGACTAGGGGTAGACTAGATGTAGGAAGAACATTTAGAAAGCCCCTGACAATAATCTAGACCTGTGGGAGCCAAAGTGTGACCCTGAAGGGTCGTTCTTGTCTCCAGTACAATTACTGAACTAAGTGCCTAAGATACAGAGAGGAAATAAGGATGGGAGAGAAAACTCCTAGAAGAGTTCAGCTGCGAGAGGGATGGAGAATCCTGGAAGTCCTTGTGGTACTTTGCGGGGTGCATGGCAGGCCTGGGAGGTCTCACTGGAAGTAGTTGGTGACTTCCAGCTCAGTCCAGGTGGTGTGAACAGCAATGTTCTTTCTCCCCTTCTTCTCCCCAACAGGGTTTGGGTTTTGGGGTGGGAGGTGGGGGGGTGTAGTATGAGCTGTACCAGCAGCTCAGGTACCTGGTTGTGTTTTAAGATTATCTCTCCTCCACTTTATTTTTTTTCTTTTTTTTTCCCTTTTTAAAAATTTTTTATTAATTTATTTTGATTTATCAATAATCACTTCCATATGCTTTTGAGTTTAAAATTTTTCTCCCCCCTCCTCCCCACCACCCTCCCCAAGACGGCACACAATCTGATATAGGCTATACATTTACATTCCTATTAAACATATTTTCACATTAGTGATATTGTAAGTAAAAATTAAATCCAATAGGAGGAACCATCAGAAAGAGGAAACAAAACTCAATAGAAGAGGAAAAAAAAATAACAATTCAACTTCCATAGTTCTTTCTTTGGATGTGGATAGCATTTTCCATCACAAGGCCTCTGGAAATGTCTTAGATCCTTGTATTGCTGGGAAGAGTTAAGTTTTATCAATATTAGTTGTCACACAATGTGGCTGTTGTTGTGTACAACGTTCTCTTGGTTCTGCTCACTTCACTCAGCATCAGACCATACAAGTCTTTCCAGGTTTTTCTGAAGTCTGCCTGCTCATCATTTCTTATAGCACAATAGTTTTCCATCACATTCATATACCACAACTTGTTCAGCCATTCCCCAGCTGATGAGCATCCTCTCAATTTCCCATTCTTTGCCACCACAAAAAGAGCCGCTATGAAAATTTTTGTACATGTGGGTCCTTTTCCCATTTGTATGATCTCTCTGGGATATAGCCCTAGAAGTGCTATTGCTGGGTCGAAGGGTATGCACATTTTTATAGCCCTTTGGGCATACCCACTTTAATTTTCTGTGAGATAGGCTAGCTACAGGATAAGCAGATTCCAGGCTCCCAGCCTCAGGGTCTCTTTATCCTTTACTCATGTAAACGAAACTACTTTTTCCAAAGTTATCGGTGATTTCTTTATTGTCAAATTTGATGAGCTTTTCTAAATCTTTATCTTTTTTGACTTCTACATTGACTGTCCTTTCTTGAACACTTAGTCTTTTCTCTGTGGATTACTAAAAATTGTTTATAACCCACCAGAGTACCCATATCTGCACATTTTAAAACTCGGAAATAGAATTTCCTAATTTGTTTAAACATCTTCTAAATAATGAATTTCAATGGGTTTTGAACCAACTGTAAAAATATAAAAATGAAACATCTTCTAGTCAGTTAATGGATTGGCATCACTGAAGCTGCACATGTACTAGCTAAATTTCACCCAAGCCCTCTGTGTAATTGGGGGGTAGAATTGGAAAATAAAGTGTCAGGGTTTGTAAATTTGACCAATGCTACTGTTCTTCCATTCGCATCCATGTGTCTGGGAGGTGTCTTTTTTTTTTTTTTTAAGCAAAGACAACTGTTAAAACCAAGTATTAAAATGAGTTAAACTTAGGCTTTCTAAATGTCAAACCAAGATCTTGAAATATAACAGAACATGCTCAATCATGTTACTTTAATGGTATGTTAGAGGAAAATGTATTGTACCATTAATAAATGAAAGGTTTTCAAAATATTAATTTTTTTCATCCTTTAATCCTATTATATCCTACTATATATATATACATAATTATTAGTACTGTAGTGTATATAGATACAGTTTATAAATAAAATCAATGTCAAGATTGTGTGCTCAAAGATTTTGTTACTGATTTTGTTCCAGAAAAACCTGGAAAGACTTGTATGGTCTGATGCTGAGATTTTTAAAATTTTGGACATGACTGGTCCATATATAAAAGAAATGGGAGGCTGCCCCCTGGTGGCTACATTGAGAATGCACAGGAGGAACCACAAGAAAGTGTAGAAGCAGTAGGAGGCCCAGGGTGCTTGGGGTAAGGCAGAAGAAAGAGGTAAAGATAGATCCAGGTTTAAGACTTAGAAGAAGATGAAGGTGATGGTCTCTTGAATAGAAAGGGAAATTAGAGGTGGGACGAGTTTTGGAGGGAAGACAATGAGGCCAGGTTTAGATGCTAGCAAGATATCCAGGTGGCTGGATCTAGTGAAAAGGTGAAACTACCAGCCTAGAGATTGGGGAGAAGTCAGGGGCACACAAAAATATTTGTAGATGGGTAATATGTATTAATTAGGGGCAGCAGTGTAATTCAATGGATAGAGCACTGGGACTGGAGTCAGGACTCATCTTGCTGAGTTCAAATCTGGCCTCAAACACTTACTTGCTGTGTGATCCTGGGCAAGTTACTTAACCCTCTTTGCCTTAGTTTCCTTGTCTGTAAAATGAGCTAGAGAAGGAAATGGGAAACCACTCCAGGATCTTTGCCAAGAAAAGTCTGATATGTTCTGACATGACTGAACAGTAATATATAATATGTATTAATTATAAACATTTACTTGTTAATCTTAGAGATTAGAACTTTTAATATTTGTTTCTTTACTACCTCCTTCCTAAAACAAAACTTCTGTGTTTTGTGAATAGGGCTAGGGAATATATATTTTTAAATATCAGTAATTATGCCTTATAGACACTAATACATGATTTACAGACAAAAGAATTTTGAAGTTTATTTAAAAAAAACAAAACCAAAAAACAAGAAGCTTGTTGTCTCCAAAGAGTGATTTAGATTCTTATCACTCATCTAACATCAAGGCTCAAAATTCCAAAGGGTTGAAAATAGGGGGAAAGGTTCCCTTAGGCCAATTAATCATTCCACCAAAATATAAGGTTAGCCCTAATCTGTAAAAACCAAATGTGAGGTGGGGAGCGTGCTCCCTGATGAACAGTGGCTGAAAAAAATGGCTGGAGTTGTTTGTAACAGTTTTTTTGTTTGTTTATTTATTTATTTATTTTTGACCAGGCAACTGGGGTTAAGTGACTTGCCCAGGGCCACACAGTTAGTGAGTATCATGTGTCTGAGTCTGGATTTGAACTCAGGTCCTCCTGACTCTGGGGCGGATCCTCTAGCCACTGAGCCATTTAGCTGCCCCTGTTTGTAACAGTTTTAAAAGATGTTTCAGCATCTTTCTTGTCTTCAGTAGAGCTCACAAATTTTTTTCTGAGATTTTTTTTTTAATCCTAACCTCAGGAAAAAAAGATCTTAACTTGAAAAAAGAAACATATCATAGTGAAATGTGTTCTTCTTTCAACTCTTACTAAAAATGGCGGCATTGCTTTTCGTTATATTGTCACTAAGCAACGGAAGCTTAAGTTTTACTTTGGGGTAAAAAGAGGAAGTAGAGCTACAAGTGGTCTCCCAGGTGGGGAGAGCCCTGTCAATTCTAACAGTCCCTGATTTTTTTTTTTTTTCATCTAATTTCTCTGGGCTTCAATTTCCTCATTTGTAAAGTAAGGAGGTTCTATCTCTAAAACTGTATCATTTGAAATGACTCAGAGATGAGGAGCTAGCCTGGCTTTCTGTTGGTACAGCAGCAGAACTACAGATTCGTGATCCTTGTGGGCAGGGCCTGCTTATTATGTATCTGATGGAGCACTTGAAGCAGGCTTCAGAAAATGCTTGTTGGTTTGTTGATTGTAGATTTAATATGTAGATATGTTTTATGGAGCACAGTATCTTAAAATTAGTACCTTTATCATGAAAAAGTTTTAAGTTCTCAAAATAAGGGCTGGTGAAATTTCATTGTGTTTGACCACTGACTTCAGAAAAGGGAAGTGGTTTCTAATTTCATTTTTCCAAGTGATTAACAATTGTAGTTAAAAAGGATGCCATTTGTAAAATGTCATTATGACTGTAATTAGGAATAGGAATAAACTAAGAAAAAAAGTTTTTAATAAGAAAAATACTAGAATGTTTTTGATTTCTAAAGAATATAATTTTGTCTTTATAGATCAAGGAACAGAGAAACATGAAGGAACAGTTTCTACTTCTGGGATCACTGATCAAGAGAAGGAATTATCAAGCAATGCTTTTCAAGCATTCATGGTAAGAAAATATTTCATGTTAATCTCTGAAACTTTTGAGAAACTTCTTTCATATTGGACATTCTTTGTTGCTTTTAGGAATACTGTCTTTGATAAGCACCTGAGAGTATAAGTTTTTGTGAAATTTGAACTTCTTTAAAGACCATTGAAAGGATTTGGAAGAGCAACTTTTTTTCGTTGTATTGCTTGTACAAAACCAAAAGAGCTATTCTCTGATGTTTGTTTTCCATAGACTTTTGAACTTTTTATTTAAATTCAGAATTGGAATTTCTTTGGTCTTGGGCCCACTGACAATGTTGTGTACCTTTGGCATTTCCCATATTAGAAGGGTTAGGGGTTTTACCTCTTGGGAGTTTAGACTCATCATTTCTCTTGGAGAAGATATGGCTTAGTAACGTGACTTCAGGCTTGTGATCAACCTCTCTTTTCATTAATCTGAGGGATTTTGTTCTATCATGATGTGCGTAAAATCATTTTTGAAACTCTTGGTTTACAAGGCTAGAGTGTAAGTCACTGTGTGTGCCCTTTGTAGGCTGGGAATTATGAAACATGCCTGCAGCACCTGGCCAGCCTGCAGGACATCAATAAGGATGACTACAAGATTGTCCTGAACACAGCGGTGGCCGAGTTCTGCAAAAACGAGCAGACGACCACCGATCACCTGCGAGCAACGCTGAACCAGCTGAAGAATCAGGTACGCCGGCGCGGGTCAGCGTTGTTCACGTGGCCAGTTCCATTACGCTGGCTGCCCCTTATTTTCTTGTTGTAAATCAGAAAGTGTGATGGGCTATTTTTCAGGTCCATTCAGCTGTCGAAGAAATGGATGGCTTAGATGATGTCGAAAATAGCATGCTCTACTATAATCAAGCTGTTATTCTCTATCACCTGCGCCAGCACACTGAAGCTATATCAGTCGGAGAGAAACTCTATCAGTTCATAGAACCTTTTGGTACGTCATTGATTGAAGCAAGTAATTTTTCACATGTTTTCTCTGACTTAAATTTTTTAGTTCATCAAATTCTTGAATAATTTATACTAGGACATTCTGGCTGTTTCCTCTTTGATTGTCCCTTCTCTGTCTCCTTTGCAGACCCCTTTCCTCGTTCTGACCTTGCAATGGTGGTGGGCTCTCGGCTCGATTCTCTTCTTGTCGCATGCCCCATGTCTTTAGCCTTGACATCTCTGCTGAGCCCCAGGCCCACATTTCCTCTGGGTGTCCCCTGGCCTCTCAGACCCACCGTACCTAAAGTGGGACCTAACTTTATCCTCAAACTTGCTTATCTTTCTGACTTTATTTTCTGTTGATGCCTGATCCACCTGTTTGAAACGTAGCTGTCTTTGACTTATTTCTCTCCCTTCCAACATCTGATTAGGTGACATATCCTATCGGTTCTGTCACTGCAGTTTTCCCTTCTCTCCTTCCTTTCCCACTGCCCTCGTACAGGCTTGTGGGACCTCGCGTCTGGACTACCGCTACAGGCCTAGATGCCCCAACCTGTTCTTGCTCTAGTCGGTCCTTCATCCTGCTGCCAGGTGAATCTGTCTTTGCCGATCTGGTCACGTCATTCCTCCGCTGAAAACTCTTTTGGGAGTCCTGATTGCCTTACTCGATAAACTCCTTTGCTTGGCATTCCAGGTCCTTTCAGTCAATCATTTGATCAGCTAATAAACATTTGTTTAATGCCTGCTGTGTGCCAGGCACCGTGTTAAGCACTGGGGATACAAAAAAGGGCAACAGGCAGCCCCTATTCTTAAGGAGCTTACAGTCTAATGAAGAAAACAACAGGCGAGCAAATACAGACAAAGCAGTGCTGTGCCGCCACCCCGTCCTTTCCAGTGTTACATCATGCCCTGAGCTCCCGCCCAGCTGGACCCCTTGTCTTGCCTTACAGCTTTCACAGTGTCTGCCTTTGCTCACGTCATGTTTTAATTAGAAACAGATTGCCTTTTGTCTTGGATTCCTGCCTTTCAAGAGCCCACTGCTACACAGTTCCATGAAGCTTTGGCTTCTCTCCATTTGCCCTTGCCCTTTCCCACTACGTGGGAAACACGCTTTCTCTCCTCTCAACCTTCTCCAAACTTTTTACTGTCTTTCATTTGGTCACCATGTTCCATTTCATGTTGTATTTGGGTACATGTTATCTATCTCCTGGTTTGTAAGAGGACAGATGTCATGATAGTTTTTATATCCCTAGCACCTAGTAAAGGGCTTTGAAAATGTAGGCTTTGAGTAAATGTCAGTTCAGTTGAATTAAGCTGAGAGTCATTGTGGTAACAAGTTATTTCCTAATGATGAGAAGAAGTGTAAAAAAGAAAAGATATGAAGGCATTGCCTTCTATCGGCACAGTTTTGGGGGAAGCTGAAAACGTTCGTTCTATTTTTCTTCTGTCTTTCTTCCGGCTCTCTGAATGCCTGAACATGTTTGCTGGGTCATGGTTGGCGAGACTTTACAGCTTTGACTCTCTCTCAGAAAGCTTGTTCCTTCCTACGAGGCTTCAGGGCATTGAGGGAGGAGATTCTGGGCCCTTTGGGGGCATACAAAATCCTTGTGGGGACTTTGGGACAAGGGGACAAGGGAAGGAGCCTAGAATTGTCTCATCTCCTAACTAACCCCTGGGCTGCTTGCAGTATGTGAAAGCAATAAGACACCCGGGGGGAAGAAGGAGCTGGGAGCTCTTTCTGTGAGATAGGGGACAAAAGAGAGGGTCAAGCACAGAGGTGAGTAGGAGAGAATGCTCCTATTTTCCATTTTGAAAACTAAAAAAATAGGTAATTCCAATTTGCTTTAATTTCATTTGTTAAGAAAATTTGTTATAATTGCATGTGAAACTGATGGTGTTGGCAATTCCAGACAAAGAGTAGGCTTCAAAAATACCGCCTGTCTGAATCCAGCAGTAACACCCACTTCTCGTGCCTCCTCGTACAATGCTGTCCTTACTGTAGCAGGGGGTCAGAACCTTTCTGTGTGTCTGGCACCTGGACCCTTTTCTTTGCTCTCAAAAATCATCTTTTTAAGTGCATAAAAGTCAGATTGCAAAGGGAAACAATTACGTTGAAATCAAAGCCTAACCGTTTTTCCATCCAAGTTCATAGACCCCCTGAAATCTTTTTCCTCACGCCTTGAAGATTGGTTAGGCCCTAGATGAAGGACCCCTGAACTTGACTCTGTTACCCCGTGGGAGGCTGGTTCGAGGGCAGCCCTGGCTGAGACTTTGGAGGCTCAGGGGTATGGCGTCCATACCGTCTTCAGGGATCCAGTTGATGGTCACGGGCCCTGCATAGAGTGTGGTGGCGGGCTGGAGTAGAGAGACCAGGAGACTGGAGGGCGTATTTGTCCTCATTTGCTCAAAGCGCATGTCTGTCTTCATGTCTTCTTGTCTTTTGTGTTCTGTAGAAGAGAAGTTTGCACAGGCCGTGTGCTTCCTGCTTGTGGATCTATACATTCTAACTTACCAAGCGGAGAAAGCGCTGCATCTCCTTGCTGTCCTAGAAAAAATGATCTCACAGGGCAATAATCACAAAAACGGGAAAAATAACGAGGTGAGTGGTCTGAGGCAGACGTGCCAAGCACAACTGAGGACATCTCCCCCATTAACCCGGCTCCTCTCTGGGTAGCGGTCAGGCCTGGTAGTAAGCAGCTGCTGTGTAAGTAGCTGCTGAGCATTGGAGACAAGAGTCCCAGCTCTCAAGAAGCTAGTAGCATAATAATGGGGGGGACAGCACTCTAACAGAGGACAGCCAGGTGGCGCCAGAGTGCAAGAAGACCTGAGTTCAAAATGGACCTTGGGCTCTTACTAGCTGTGTGACCCTGGGCAAGTCATTGAAACTTTGTTTGTCTCAGTTTCCTCATCTGTAAAAATAGGGATAACAACACCATCCTCCCGCCCAGGGTTATTGTGAGGGTCAGATGAGATAATAATCATAAAGCACTCAGTGCCGAGCCCAGCACACAACAGATGGTGTAGTATAAATGGTAGCTGTCGTCGTCATCATCGTTATTAAATATGTACAAACAAGCTATGTACTGGGTAAATGGGAAACAGTCAACAAAAAGGAGGGGTAGAATTAGAAGAGATTGAGAAAAGCGTCACGGGGCAGGATTTGAAGGAATCCAGGAGAGGAGAAGGGAAAGCCTTGCAGGCCTGGGGGACAGTCGGTGAAAATGCCTGGAGCCTAGAGATGGAGAGTGGCCTTGAGGAGCAACCTGGGGCCTGTGTCACTGGACAGCGCTGGGAAGGGAAGAGGGGCTGGGTCACGAAGGGCTTTGAAGGCCCACCAGAGCATTTGGTGTTTGCTCCTGGGGGCAAGAAGGAGCCATTGGAGTTCACCGAGTGGGAATCAGAGAGTCGGACATGGTCAGACCTGAACTTTAGGAATATCCCTTTGGTGGCTGAATGGAGGATGGCTTGGAGTGGGGGGACAGTCAGCATCAGTTATTGCAGGTCAATGCAGTAATCCAGATGTGAGGTGATGAGGGACTGCCCCAGGGTGGCAGCGATGTCAGAGAAGAGAGGGGGGTGTATTCGAGAGATGTTACAGAGGCAAATTGACAGGCCTTGGCAGCAGCGTGGATAACGGGGTTGAGAGACAGTGATAATTGGCCCTCTACAGTAATTGGCAAGTTAAAAGGGGAGAGGGTTCGGTGGAAAAATCATGAGTTCTGTTTGGACATGTCGAGCTGCTGTTGATCTGAGGGCTGAGCCAGAGTCTTGGATGTCCCCTTTGACCAGGGTGGTGGTCATACCTGGAGTGCTTGGCTTTGTTAAGGAGATACTTATCTTGTCCCCTGATTCCTTCTCCTTTATTGTACAAGCAGTAGGCAGGGAAGAGGTTCCTTTTTGTTTGTAAATAAACATCTTCCTTGAGTTCTTGACATCACCCTTTGGTACCAAAGAGGGAGTCAAAAAAAAGTGACTTCATTTGAAGGTCTTTATGCTGTAGTACTGAGACCTGGACAGCAAATCAGCTTGGATTGCCTGGGGAGCCACCTTATTTTTCAGTATTTGTTATCATGTTTTTAAAATTTAAGATGCAATTAAAGCCTGATTAAATTCTGGTTTATTTGTTTTCTTCAATTTTTGTGCAGTCAGGAAACACTGCAGGCAAAGAGGGATCGAATCACAAAGCGGACAGTGGAGCCTTAATAGAAGCAGCAAAGTCCAAGATTCACCAGGTGAGCTGATGTCAGAGATAGCTTCTGCGTAACATGTAGTCAGCCTGGTGATGGAGCCTAAGAAAGGAAGAGCGTTCATTATTGGGAAAAGTAAACAACGGAGAAACAGTTGTCTTTACGCTTGCAGAGCATTACTGAATTTTTGTGGTCGATTTGTGGTCCTAACTGTTTCGCTTCAAGTGTCACTAATAAAGAGGCATTTTTAGTGGTTGTGTCCCCCAGGGTAGTGGGGGGGGGTAGCGAGCACAGGGGCTACACAAAAGCCCCCCACGATTGTAACAGAGAACTGAAGATGACTTTGGTTTGGAGCCTCAGCACAGCCTTCATTCCTGCTCTGTTAGTGTGCTAACTTTGCTCCTAAGATAGGAAGGATTTGAGATCATTTTAAAGTGACTTTTTAGCATTAACTTTACAAATGTGACGTTGCATTTTTACTCTCTACCTCATAAAGTTAAGTACTGTTTTGTGATGTTTACATTCACTGTAGTTCTCATGTGAAAACTTTTCCCTCCAACTGTGCAGTATAAAGTGAGAGCCTATATCCAAATGAAGTCTCTGAAAGCTTGCAAAAGGGAAATCAAATCTGTCATGAATACAGCTGGAAATGTAAGTGTCTCCCCTGACTTTTCTCTTTTTTGTCTTTTCTCTCTTAAGGGCATGCTGTGTATACTTACCTTTATTTTCTTGGAGAATGGTAATTCCTTGTTAAGGAAGCTTTAAACAGGTGATTGTAATGTGGCCTGTTCCCGTTATCAAGGAAAAGCCAGGCCAGCAAAGGGCCAGCGCTTAGCTCTTTTATGATGGGGCTTGGGTTTTTTGTGTTTCATAGAGACCAAAAATTAAATCTGAATCACTTCTTTAAAGCACCTTTTAAAAATAATTTATTATAAATTTAGCCTTTTTTTTCCACCCAGTGGTGTAGGGAGCTCCTTATGAGGAAACCCATTTCCAGGACCCAGTGTGCAAAGTGAAGTCAAGTGACTCACCCAGGGCCCCATAAACGGTGTGGGAGGGGTTAGAACTTGAACCCAGAACTTGTGTGCTCTCTAGCCAGCTCTCCAGCTGCCCTGCACACTAGAAACACTCATCTCACATAAAACCTCATCGTGTAGCAGTAGAGAAGTGAACACATTAGCAGAAAATAAATACTAGCAACCTTTTTGTACTAGAATCTACCTCCCCAGTCATAGCTACATGCGGCCCCATCGTAACTGAAATGTAATCGTGCTTTGTATAAGCCCAGATTTCTGTTGATCTTTCATTGCTGAAGCACCTACCGCAAGGGACTGTAGCCAAGACAGTGAGCCCTGAAATTTGGCCCACTAACCACCTGGATGACTCTTGATGGCATCCAGGAGAAATGAGAAGCAGGTTGATGCTTTGGGATGGCTTCTTAAAAAACTTGAAAGGAGAGGATAGAAAGATGTGAGGTCTTGTCCAAGGAGGGCTGGAAGCAAAAATAAGTCAGATTATTTGAGTGGGTGGAGGAAAGGGGGAGTTGAGCCCTAGACTAGAGAGTCTGGGTAAAGTCACCCTGGGAGCTGCAGGGAGACAGCAGTTTTTGTCCAAGCCCAGGGGTAGATCTGAAGCTTTGCCAGAAAAGGTTGGCTTCCTTGGTGATCAAGAAGCTGTTAAATGTATGAGAATTTGAGACAGATGAGGGAGCCAGGGTGTGGAAGGGCTCCTCAGAAAGCCAGATGGACTGAGATATTTGAGCCCTAGTATCCTGAGAGACTGGGCTGGGGATTCCCCTCTTGGGTCATTCGATGCCTAGGGTTTGCTCTGGGGGTATGTGTGTTTTACGTAGGTTACAAGTAGGTTGGACCACAGTGGGTACTGTGAGGAGGAATTACAGGAGCAGAAGGCTGTGATTGCAGAGAAAAGGGGGGTTGGTGTAAATGCCTTGCTTCTTTGGGGCTGGGGCAGCAGCCAGTTCTTACACATGGAATTGGGGAGGCGGCCTGTGCAGTGTGGCGGTGCTTAGACAGATCCCTTTGGTTACATCTCTAAAAAGAATGCACAGTTCTTGAGTGAGTTCAGGACAATTATGATTTACCCCTCCATAAATTAAGATTTGCCCCTGTCTTGTTATTTATCTCCCTACACTCAGACACACACACACTCTCTTCAGTAAATCTGTGCCTATTTCCTTTAATGGCACATGGTAATCCATTCATGCCTTCTGGTGTGGTGTGACAGTAAACTCCCATAGTGAAGCATACCCAAAACACACATCTGCGTATTATCTTTTCCCCTCAGATGTTCTGTCATTTGGAGTTCTCCTTCACACTTAACACACTCTGCTTGATGAGACTTACTTGTATTACTTTCCCCCACTCCAACTCAGTTATACGCTCTTTGAATACAGGGCCTGGCTGTGAGTGTGCTCCCAGGATTTTACGCACTGTGGGTGCTTCATAAATGTTGAATAAATGAACAACAGTGACTTTGTCTCCAGTGATTTAGAAAAGTATTTAATTCATGTATATTTAGAAATATATAAGAGATGATCAGTCTCTGTGGAGACTATAGAAACATTAAAATGGTTGTTAATCCCAAATCAGTGATATAACAAGAAGATCCCTTTGATACACTGTAAAGCATGTACTCTTAAACTGTGTTTTGGTTGTTTGCTCTGTTGTGGTTAATTGTGTGTTTTGACATCTACTTATTAATTCCTATAGGAACAAGAGACTTAGAAACAGATAGATATTGAAATAACAAGCGACAAACAATAGCCTCAGTTTCCTGTGCCATAACTGTGTGAATTCATTGCTAACATGTTAGTATAGTAATGGAAATCTGAACTCATGTCATACCTCTTTAAGTTATAACTTGTGTTTTTTTACAGTCTGCTCCTTCTTTGTTTCTTAAAAGCAATTTTGAATATTTAAGGGGCAATTATCGAAAAGCAGTGAAATTGTTAAATAGTGCAAACATTGCTGAACATCCAGGATTCATGAAAACAGGTAAAAGAAAATCATGAAATTTGAAAAGTCTGTATTCTTGCTCTTCTTTCCCTTACTATGTTCTCTGTTCACAGACACTTGTTGAGAATGACTTCTAAATGGGTAATTCTAATAGTGCCTCATAGAGTCAATAACTTTCGGAATCTCTACTTTGCCTTATCCCAAACTCTTGGGATTTCAGTTGATTGTATACTGATTCCTTGTTGTTCAGTCATTCAGTTGTGTTCAACTCTTTATGGCCCTGTGGACCAAACTGTCAAGGGGGATTTCTTGGCAAAGATACTGGAGTGGTCTGCCATTTCCTCACCTGGTCAATTAAGGCAGAGGTTAAGTGACTTGCCCAGGGTCACACAGTTAATACGTGACTGAAGCCATATTTGAACTCAGGTCTTCCTGACTCCAGGCCCAGTGCTCTATCCAGTGAGCCAGCTGGCTGCTTCCTCATGAATTCTAGTGGCAGCCCAACTTTAAAAATGTTTTGTCTTTGCAAAGACTGCCATCTCAAATAGTGAATAACTTGAGGGTATATTTGGAATACAGGGCTGAAGACTAAGGACAGCAGTAAGTCAGATGAAAGTTCTAAAATCTAGGTCATCTCTCATGGTCAAACTAACCCAGTTGTGAATTTCTGTTCTGGGGATGTGAACCCCATTAACTTGTCCTGCTGGTGTGAGGCAAAGGGCAGGAGAGGGGAGGGGTCACATAGAAAAAGAAGGTCTAATGAGGATTCCTTCCTTTTCATTTCTCATCCTCTTCCTCCTTAAAAGTAATGTGTGTATTCTATATAAAATATATCTGACACATTGTTTGTAATCTCAAGAAATGGTAAAAAAAAAATGACTCCCTAAGTCCTTGTGAGTGATGAGTCTTTGGTGTATATTTTACAAATGAGTAATTAACTGACACACAGTTACACTTAATAAAACTTCCAAAACTGTTGTCTTGGAAATAAGAATTTTTTAAAAAATAGGTTGGTGGTACTGAATAAGTAAAGTATAAATATTTTCTTCCAAAAAGGTTGAATTTCATAGATGTCACTTCTAGTCAGCTAGTAGCCATTTTTCAAAATAGTTTATTCTTGATTTTTCAGTGGAATTAGAAAAATAACATGAATAATTCAAAACCACAGATAAACCAAAAATTCATTTTCGAATGCAGTCAGCGTCATACTTGGGCATAAATACAAATAAATTGTCAGATTGACACATGTGTAGATGTTTTTCAATGCCTGCTTTGACCTTGGCCATCTCCAGAGCCAGCCAGGCAGCAGTGTGCACGTGGAAAAAGAGGCAGGGAAGAGGCCACTCTGGGGCGCTCCCTTAGTACAGACCACGAATGCTTGGCCAGTTGGCCTCCAGCGTCTTTTAGCTTCTCAGCTAAGACACTGGTTGACATTATTACTCTTTCTGTTTGCTCTTTGCAGGCCTTTCCATTGAGAAAGACTTGTGTTCTCTCTCTCTAAAGAGGGATGGAGTGTAAGATTAGCTCATTTGGAGAATTGAGAAATCCCTCCCCACTCTCCTCCTCCATCATCAGGCTGATCCTTAGCTTCAACCTGAAAAATAGTGTGGTTTCCTCCCCGGGGTTCCAACTCTTGGGGAGCTTCCTAGTTTGTGAGTGGAGTTTTTATCATATGATCCTAATTTATGGAGTACTAACAGGAAATATATTCAAAGTCAAATATGTGAGTGCACACACACATACGTGTACATGTGTCAGATCACTGGTATTTTAAATGTCTATGCCTCTGGACCACTTCCTTAGCACAGATCATCATATAATGATTTTACATGTAGCCACAGGTTTTGTGTAGCAGTTTTACAGGTAGACCTCATCTAACATTGCCTCACCACACAGAGTTCACAGTGACGTCACTAGCACATCGTAATACCCAAGCCCTCTCGTGACATCGTGAATCTTGCAGGGATGTGGTTCTAGGCACCCGCATGCCCATCTGAGGGGCTAATTGCCATCCTTCAGAGGGTGTTTCACCTGATGCTTTGTTTTGTCAGAATCTGTTGATGAAGATGGAAGGGCTTTCCCTGAATCTTGCCTGTATTAGGGTATTTCCTTCAACTTTTACAGCAACCACTAGACTTGAGGATGAGCTCCTCCCCCACTACCCTCTGCTGTGCCTCATCATGGCATCAAGTGGCCCTCATTCTGGCAGGCCTGGCCCGCCAAGCACAAGGGGTGCAAGGGTTTGGAGGAGGGTCCCAGTGATGGTCCCTGGCTCTGCCAGCTGAGGACCAGCCCCGTGAAGTACACAGAGCCTCCCATCAGCATCTGGCTGCATCCCTCTCCTGCATCCCTCAGAATGCAGACCCTTGAAGTGGCCTAGCTCTGCCCGTGCTCTGTCTGTGCCCCAGAACATAGCCTGCCCCATCCCACAGGGGAGGCAGGAGCCTGGGCAGCTGTTGGGGGCGTCTCCATTAGAAGATATCGTTCTGGCCTCACGCAGTTTGGTGTGTTTGTTTTTCTCAGGTGAATGTTTAAGGTGCATGTTCTGGAACAATCTGGGCTGCATTCACTTTGCCATGGGTAAACACAATTTGGGAATTTTCTATTTTAAGAAGGCTCTCCAAGAAAATGACAATGTGTGTGCCCAGCTCGGAGCAGGCAGCACAGACCCGGGTAAGTCTTCTTTTAATGTGCTGTGGCTGTGCACGCTGCTGGGGGAGCGTGGGGAGGAATTGGGGTTTTGTTTTTTTCCCAAAAGGACTTTGTCAGCATTGAGAGATGAGGATCAATAATCATTGAGAGTGAACCTGTGGGGGTGCTCGATTGATTAATTTCAAATAGTAAACCAAAAAAGTGAAGTACTTTTTTTAATGCATAAAAGAAAGCAGAAGAATTTGTGGGCAATCAGGACAGCTTTGAAAGTTAGATGTTGAGTTTATTATATTCTTCAAAGGAAAAAAACAGGTCTACATAATAACTGTTTCGTGTTTGTCCCTTTTTCTGTTCTACTTTGTATATGGGAGCGCTCATTTTATTTGGTGTGGTAAATTCAGAACAAATTTTTAAAATGAAAAAAATAAGGGAGAAGAGTGTAAGCATTTCTATAGTGCCCCCTGTGTGCTACGTACTGTGCTAAGTGCTTTACAAATATTATCTCATTTGATCCTCACAACAACTCTGGGAGGCAGGTGCTGTTATTATCCCCATTTTACAGATGAGGAAACCGAGGTAGACAGAGGTTAAGTGCCTTGCCCAGAGTCACACAGCTAGTAAGTGTCTGAGGCTGGATTTGAACTCAGGTTTTCCTGATTCCAGGACTGACACTGTATCCACTGGGCCACCTGGCTGCCTCAAATGAGGTAATGAATGTGAAAATACATTTCCCTAGTTCATTTCCGTTTCATTCAACAAACATTTACAAATTATGGCATTTAAAATGAGGTGCCACCTCACTCAAGTTGATAAGAATCAGCCCTTGTGCCCCCTTTTCATAAAGTGAGAGAGTGTATGTGTGTGTGCATGCGTGCGTGCGCGTGCATATGTGCACGCTAGGCACAGCTGCTCTAAATAACCCTCCTGGCTGCTGATGTGGTTCTGAGCCCAGATCCTGAGACTCAGGATCGCAGACTTCTCTGAGGAAAGAGGTGCTGAGGTTCCAGGAGCAGACGTAGAGCTCTAAGGCAGTGCAGAGGCATCCAGGCCAACCCCTCCATTTCACTGTGAGGGAGCAAGGTGGGATCAGCCCCTAGTCATTCCTCTCAGGGCGGAAGGGATGGGCCCCATGGGGCTGCGTGGGACCTCTCCCCTGTGCCGACGTCTCCTTGCATCTAGGTAAGGGGGCTTTAGGAACAGAAGGTGGTAGCCCTGCCTGAGGGAGACCAGGGACGTCTCCTGACAGAGGCACCCGCCAGGAGGATTGGGGTCAGTGTGTGCTGAGGGGCGGCCACTCCAGGAGGAGGAGGATGGTGAGGTGGCCATGATGTGGGGATTTGCATTCAGGATTGCTTGGGGTGGACAGGTGGCTTAATTTGACTTCTCTGTTAGCATGTTGAGTGAGTGCAAAATAAAGATTAAACTAAAAACTTCACAAGAATCTTATTATATTACCAGGGAAGAAATTCTCGGGGAGGCCCATGTGTACCCTGCTAACAAATAAGCGCTATGAGCTCCTGTACAATTGTGGCATTCAGCTGCTGCACATTGGCCGGCCACTGGCGGCCTTCGAGTGCTTGATCGAAGCTGTCCAGGTTTATCATTCCAACGCCCGCCTTTGGCTGCGGCTGGCCGAGTGCTGCATTGCTGCCAACAAGGGGGTGAGTAATGGCCTTCACCCTGGTTTGGCTCAGGGACAACGTTGTCCTTTTTGTTTCTCATTTCACTCATGTTCAAAGAGACAGTTCTCGCTCTCTGTCAGCTAGCTGTTTTACTGCCCATTTGTTAAAACTTTTGTTTACAGACAAAGTACACATTATCCATTTTTAAAGGGAGTAATTGTCCAAAGCCCCTACAGAGAGAGTGGGGTTAGGACGAGGCTGAGGAAGGTTCCCTGCAGATGCCTGAGGAGGCTGGTGGGCTTAGAGTAGGCCCTTTTTTACACTCTTTAAGTATCATAAGCAGTTTTGGTTGGGCTGGGTTCTATCTATGGCTATTTACCGTGTTAAAAACTAAAATGTCTTAGTGTGATTATGAAAACGGTTTTGACCTCATGGGCCCCAAAAGGGTCACGTTGAGAGCTGCTCCTTGGGAGAAACAGGCAGGCAGGTAGTTTCCTCAGGCTTGGATGGGTCTTTCCTGATCTTTGCCCACCTTCCCTTTGAGACCTTCAGAAAATTAAAATGAATTTGAAATATATCTGTCTGTCTTTATAGCTCAGCCTTTTACTGTGATTATGAGGCTTCTTGAAAACTTCCCTTGTATGTTTTATAGACCTCAGAACAGGAGACTAAAGGTCTTCCAAGCAAAAAGGGGATTGTACAGTCCATTGTGGGTCAAGGCTATCATCGAAAGATAGTCCTGGCATCCCAGTCCATACAGAACACCGTATATAAGTAAGTACTTGGCAAGGAGGTCACCTCGTCTTGTTTGTTTATTTATTTTTGCACATGGGAGTTTTGCTGTTATGTTGACTTTGAAGTTAATGTCTTAATTCATAGATGGGCTCATTTTGTAACCAGCATTATTGTTACTTTCCAAACTAAACCTCCATGATGAGGGTACAGACGAATTGGCCTTGGGCTAGCTTGGGCTTTCTCCCACAGCAGGATTCTGGAGGAGTCCTGGTCCAACCCTGTCAGCTCCATCTCTCTGTGCCCTCACCTCATCTCTCCAGGAGAGGGTGTCGAGGGATGTGACGCGTCCTAGGCTGTCCATCACTCAGGGTTTTGTTTCTGAGCTCCTTTCTCTCAAATTAGAATGTTTACATGTGATAATTTGTGGTTTAAAGGGGCCAGCAGAGACTGTTTGGTTACTGGTACGTGTAAGTGTCCAAAATAGCTTGGAAATCCTTAGCTGCCAGAGTGATTTTTCCAATTTATGGTCTTTCAAAAATGCAAGGACCACGTTCTACATAAATATTCCAGCTAGAGTTTCCCATATTTCTCTGGTGACAGCCAGCATCTGGTGGCTTCAAGGAGTCTTTCACAGCTTCTTCTGTGAATAGCTGCCTATTGGATTTTAACGTCCTGATTAAAATTACCCGTGATTTCATATCTGCTACTAGTAAAACAAGGCATTTTAAAACAATACTTAGCATCCATCTCCGTAAACATTGTGTCTGAATTTTTTATTTTTCATTTGATCTGTTTAATTCTGTTCCTTTAAGTGATGGACAGTCCTCTGCCATTCCTGTAGCCAGTATGGAATTTGCAGCCATTTGTCTCAGGAACGCCTTGTTGCTGTTACCAGAAGACCAGCAGGACCCAAAGCAGGAGAATGGGTCTAAGACCAGCCACCAGTTGGGTGGAAGTGCAGAAAATGCTGAAAGTCAGGAGACTTGCAGGTAATCCCACCCTATCCCCAAACCTGTAGTTTCATTGAGAGAGGGAACTCCCAAATGAGGAAATTCCCTCTGCCAGTGCAGAAGTTTGGTGGCATCTCTGTAACTTACGGTCTTAGAGAATTGCCTAGATCGCTGAGAGGTTAAGTGATTTGTCCAGAATCAGTTTACATCAGAACTCAAACCTAAAGGTCCCTGTCTCAAAGGCCAGTTCTTCATCCTTTACACCCTGGCTGCCTCTGTTAAGATATAATAAGCATTCAGCAAAAATAAGCTTTCATGAGATTGTGTTGTAAACCAAAGGAGCAGAATATGTTTATTATGAAATTAACATAGGGTTGTTCTGTCACATTTCTTCATTCAGCATTCAGTCACTATTGTTTTATAAATTAGTGAATCTTTCCTAATATTTGTATTATAAAGATTGTTAATTTAATGTAAATACATTCTTTAAGAATTTAGAATATTAAAAACATAACTTTTCATTTAAAAAAGTGAAGTATGTCCTATTTGTTTGCTATTGTACTATGAACAGTGACCAGTATAAATAAGTGTATGGTCCTTGCCCTCAGGGAACACATGCTCTAACTGAAAGAGGCAAGATGTGTGTAAAATAAAACGGTGAATCTGTAAAATGAGGGGGTTGGAGGAAGTCATTTCTCCAGGCCTCTTTTAGGTCTTCCTTTTAATAAGTTTAATAATAGCTGGCATTGATATAGCTCTATAAGGTTTGCAAATTATTTTCCAGTATCAACAGTACAATGACTGACTCAGAACAGTGTTCAGAGTTCCAAGGAGGGCGGTAATCATAGTGGTTGGGGAAGGCATTTCAGAAGACGTGGCATATGAAGGATGATTAGTACTCAGGAAGACAGAGGAGCGGGGAAAGTGTTTGAGCTGAGGGAACAGCATAGGTGAAGACCTGGGTAATGGGAATGGATGAGAGATGGTTTGTGTAGAGGAAGTGTGGGAGTGCTGACAGGACAGATCACGGAGGGCTTTGGATGCTAGGCGTAAGAGTCAAGTGGTTATTCTAGACAGTATGAGAGAGAGAGAGTAATGTGAGAAAAGCGATGTTTTAGGCAAAGTATTATCTGATGGTGGTTTCAGGATGGATTGGTTTGGGGAGAGATGGAGGTTGGTAGACTGGTTATGGGCTGCCCTGGTAGTATAGGAGTAAAGTGAATACCTGGGCTGGAGTGGTGGTGGTGTTAGTGGGGAGCAGAGAATGGGTGGGGGGAAGAGATGTCTTCATGGCAGAATTCAGAGGAAAAAGAAGAGTCAAAAGGGCCTCTGGTGTTTGAGCCTGGGTGATTGGGAGGATGGTATTTCTGTTAATGGACAAAAGGAAGCTAAGTGGAGAAACTGGCTTCAGCATTGGTTGGTGGCAGGCTAGCTATTTCAGGTTTGAAGTGGTGATAGGGAGGAGAGGCCTGGGCACCCCGTGGTCATATGCTTCTGTGTTTGGAAAAGGGTCATCAGACCAAGGGATGAGAAAGAAGCCATCCAGGAGCTGAGAGAGATGGGGAGAAAGCAGCATAGAGGAGCTGATGCTCAGAGACAGGACAGACTCAGCCTAGGCAGATTTCAGGAAGCCGATGGAGACCTTGTGTCACTCCTAGACTCTGTTAATGGAAGATTTAGATCAGAGGTTTCCAAACTTGTTTGGCCAACTGCCCCCTTAAAAGAAAAAAAAAATACTCAGTGCCCCCCTGGAAATCTACTTTCTTTAACCCTTTAACATTTTTTAAAAAATTTTTTGAGTCATTTCAAAAAAAAAATTATATACATATAAAATGACATCTTAAATTTAATAATTTATTGTAAATTTGCAGGTTTTTTCCTGCACTGAAATTTTGATGATGCAATGTTGTGTCATATAGTTGTATTGTATCATACTGTAAACAAGTCATGACACGCACGTATTCCTACCCATGCATGCTGGACTTCACCTCATTGAAGGACAGGGACAGGCTTGCCTGCCAGCACTTGCATGTTAAGACCTGTTGGCGAACTTGACCACTGATCAGGTATAACTTGCATTTTGTGTGCTTATTTGGAAAATAATGTAAATCACTATGATTTTAGCTCTGTTACACAACAGATGAAACATGTACGGACAATTTTCAAAATGTTTTCATTTTCTCTTCTTTCTTTTTGTTTCCACTGCCCCGTTATTTTTATTCAACGCCCCTCAATATTATCCAAGGCTACTACCACCCCCCTGGATGGTCCAGTGTGGGGCAGGGTGGGTATCGCCCACTTTGGGAACCTACGATTACATGTGCCATTGAGAACGATCACACAGTGTACCACCCCCATCCCCACTGCAGCCAAAAAAAAAAAGACATAATCATTTAACTAATTCTAAGTAGAATCAGAGTCTGAGAGTTTGAGAGCTGGAAGAGAACCCTCTTCTTTTAACAGATGAGGAAATCTGGGCCCAAAGAAAGGAAGTGCCTTGTTTAAAGCCACACAGCTAGTTAGTGGCAGCTGCAGGTGGTAGTTTTATTTGAATGCCTGTCCAGGGCTGTGGTTTTTTTGTTTTTTTTTTTTACAGTCTTCATGCCCACATTTTCCCTGGTGTAAACTTCTGTGGTGTCCAGACCTGCAGAGGCACTGGGCAACCATGGCTGGTATGGAGGGGAAGGTGTGAGGGCCTTCTTTAGGATGCGCCCTCAAACCTCACACTGTGATCCTGCAGACAGGTAGACAGCTTGTCCCAGCTGTCCCAGTGTGAAGAGAGAGGAGAACAGAGGCACTCTGCCAGACCAGTGTCTTCTTTCTGTGCAGAGAGAGAAGATGCCCGGCACCCCCTCCCTGCTCATGTTCAAATTTTTAGATGTTTGAGAAGGAGGCAAGCAAGCTCGAGAGGAGCAGTTAGAACTGTGGGTGAAGGAGAAGGGACAGTGGGACCTGAAGGCTGGGGCAGAAGAGGGAGAGCAGTGAAGACATGCGTGGGGTTTGTGCTTTGAATTTGGGGGGATCGAAATGAGGCATGTTTTTGCTGGATTTCATGCAGGAAAATGTTTAAACTCTGAAAATCTTTCTGATTTTGCCCCTGCTTTTTACTTTGCCTCTCACCAAATTTAAACTCCATGTCTGAGGTGGTATATTACTTTTGTGGCTTGCAGTGTTCTTGATACACATTTGTTGTTCAGCCATGTTCAATTGTGTCTGACTCTTTGTGACCCCATTTGATTCGGAGTTTTCTTTGCGGAGATACGAGTGGTTTGTTATTTTCTTCTCCAGCTCATTTTACAGATGGGACACTGAGGCAAAGAGGGTGAAGTGACTTGCCCAGGGTCACACAGCTAGTTAGTGTCTTAAGCCAGATTTGAACTCAGCAAGATGAGTCTTCATGATTCTGGGCCTGGCGCTGTATTCACTAGCTGCCCTTTGATATATGCATTATCTCACTTGAACTTCCAAAAATCTGAAAATTAAGTACCACTGGTTTTATTTTCTCTCACCTGTAAAATTGCAGAGACCTCAGGTCCACGCTTTCTAAAGAGCTGGTTCAGAGAGTGGTGGCTTTCTGTATAAACTGGGAGAGAATGTGGTGATCTGCAGGAGTGGCTGTTACCTGGCAATGCAGCCGTGGGCTTTCGCTCTCTCTAGTCTGTTTCCAAGACTAGAGTGAGGTCGTTTTTGTAGTTTCATTTCAGTGGGATGGGGACACCAGTGATCCTAAGTGGGAAGAATCCGGAGAGACCTGGGTTTGAATTCCCCATTGGACGCAAGCTGTGTGACCAAGGCAAGTCACATAACCACTCACAGGGAGTTCTGAGACTCACATGATATCATGTTGGTTGAGTGCTTCAGAAATTTTAAGAATTGTTTAAATTCCAGTATTTGGTTAAGAGATCAGTGATCTTGAGGTAGTCTTTGTAAGATCATTTAGCACAGTACCTGGTACATAGTAGGTACTATGTAAGCCTACCTGCCTGCCTGCCTTCCTTTCTTCCTTCCTCCCTCCCTCCCTCCCTTCCTCCCTTTCTTTCTTCCTTCCCTCCTTTCCCTCCTTTCTCTCCCTTCCCTTTCCTCCCTCCTTTCTACTATGTAATCTATCCATTTACTTATATTAAAAAATAAGGAGCATCTATTGGGTAACTTTCTCATAAGTAAGACTTGATGTGTGAAATAGCAAAGTCAGTGGTAATAACAAATTTTTAAGCATTTATCATTTAACCCTCCCACCTCTCACACTGTTCTTTTTTCCTATTTTTAAACATCATAGGGAAATGAGTAGTAGTAAGTATGTAACGAGTGAGAGGCAATATGGAAAAAAAAATTAAGGACTTATTGGTTAATCTGTGTAAGTAATAGGCTATTTTTATTTCAGCAGTAAAAGTCATGATGGAGATAAATTCATTCCAGCTCCACCGTCTTCTCCTCTCAGAAAACAAGAATTAGAAAACTTAAGGTAAGTGCCAAAATAAAATTGTTTTTAATTTAGAGCAAAAGCAAATGACTCAGTCTTTTTAAAAGCTTGCTCACTGTTAAAATATCTATAAGATGTAAGAAAAAATATTGATAGGTGACAAATTCCATTCAAAAATTATTAATGCCATTTGTCCTTATATCATGTTCATTTTTGATGGGGAAAAAGCAGTTCTGCAAAAGTATCTGAGAGAAATGATTATTAATAACCAGTGATTTGGGGAGGTTGGGAATTCCCCCTTCTTCTAAAGTCCCCATTTCAAAGCTCAGTCTCTGAAGGTTGAATTAACTTTGTCCTCAATCTGGGTCAGACCCCACCCAATTTTACCAGGAATTTAATCTAAGCCCATTGTGCTCTCCACAGGTTTGGGTGGGGATAAATTCTTTGATTAGATTGCCCAAGGCTAGGTGTGATTTAGAAGTGAATGACATAATGAAAGTTATGTTTCCCCCATCCTTTCTTCAGAATAGGTCCTCCTCTCATTGTAATGTTTATTCTCTCATTCATTGTTAACCAATCAGAGTTGATTTCCAGACTCAGGAACACCCACTCTTCCCAGGGCATATAAAGTGTGAGCCTACCACTATGATTGGTCTTTGGCATTTGAGAGTGTCACATTGACTCTTTTATTAATGAAATGCTAGCATTATTAGTAAAATGATTAATTACCCAGAAAGTATATCTCTTGAACTTTTTAAATGTCACATATCTGGGTCTATGAAATATTCTATGCCCATGGTCCACCATTCCTGCAATAAAGGGACAGGGATATTCAGCTTTTCTTAAGGGTGAGGCTTAGTAATTTTTGTTAGACAGCATTGATTTCCGTTGTATTGTCCTTTTTTGTGCCCTTTGTTGTGGTCACTGTTTATTAACAGTTTTCCAGGTTTGGCTTCTTTTACTCTGCATCAATTCATGTAAGTCTTCCTGTACTACTCTGAATTCTTATACTTCATATCCTGTGGTACAGTAAGTAGTAGTCCATTACGTTCACCTACCACAGTGTGGGCAGCCATCCCTGGCCAATGGGCACCTAATTTGTGGCCTGTCCTTGACTGAATATTTTGGTATGTATAGGGCCTTTCTGTTTTGATAGCCTTGGGATATATTCCAATGGCCATATATGATTTTACTACGGCATCCCAAAGGTTTCATTTTTTCAGACAGGGCGGAATTTGAAGACAGGCAGTGGGGAAAGAGAGGTCTGCTGTGTGTGTGGCATTTATTGTATGTAACTGGGCCCCTCGTTAGTCTTGCATTAGAATCGACAAATAACATTGTCACGAAATTATGCTCAGTCACAGAATTTGAAAGTTTGTGCAGCGTGGTAGGTGGAAGCAAAAAGGAATCATCTGTATGTTTTATTGATGGACAATAAATGATCTTTAATGCAATCAAGACATGGAAAGCTGCTTGATTTTTTTTTTAATGGTGGGCAAATGTTAATTTTCTTCAAAATTGTTATTGTTTTTTGCTAGATGAATAGCTTTAACAAATGCTTCAGTAATTCCTTTTCCGATAGAGACAAGTTCCCTGTGGAATTTATAATGTGGTTATATTTTGAGTAAGTCATTATTGAATTTGGCCTTTCCAGCAAATATCTAAGCGGTTTACAGTAGTTTGTGACTTGTAAAGCTGTCATCTGGACTTTTTCTCTGTTTCCTAAAAGTAAAATATTAGAAGCATAAATAATTTATCAAAATTAATATCTGTGTTCTCTGGATGCAGGAATTTAAAAATGTTTACTAGCCTTCATTTCTTGAGAAAACAGATTGCCTATAGCTGAGGCAGGTAGGTGGCGCAGTGGCTAACAGTACCTGGCCCAGAGTAAGGAAGGCTTAAGTTCAAATTTGTCCTCGGATCATAGGCAAGTCTCTTAACCTCTGTTTGTTCCAGTTTCTTTAACTGTAAAATGGGGATAGTAATAGAACCTACCTCACAGGGTTGTTGTGAGGATCAGACGAGGTAAAAGTGCTTAGCACAGTGCCTAGCAAATGATAGACGCTATATAAATGCTTATTCCCTTCTTTTCCCTCCCCCCTTTCCACCATATACCTCCTGAACAATATGGCAGCTGGCCGTAATTGTATTGAAAGAAAGAAATTCTCAAGTAGAGAGTAGCTCACATCATAATCTATATAGAAGACCTATGTACCAAATTTCATTGAAATCCCTGAAATTAAAAGAAGATATTCGTGTTTGATAATTTTGAAAATTCGTCACCATTTTGTTCCAAGTTGGTAGATTAAATTCCAATATGAATTTAGATATGTCTTTTATGGTTTTGTAAATAAAGTTGACACAGACTACTTGTTGAGAATTTATCATGGAATTCAGACAAGCAGTTGAAAGAGCTCTCTCACAGTCAGATACTATTTTTCATCACTGTTATTGGATGCAGTTTGGAGTAACGCCGCTTTGAAATGTATGTCCTTGCACTTCTAATGTCTTTGGGGATAACCAGGCCAAACAAATGTTGTCTTGTAAATAAAAGTGTTTTTGTGTATTCAGTGGGGCTGGGGTGGGGGTGGGAAAGGAGGAGAGGAGTATTGGCTAATGATCTCAGCAGTTGGGCTCTAGGAGTGTCTGGGAGCACATGTTTCTTCTGCTCCGTAAAACAACAGAAAGGATGTTGTCTTCGGTTCTTTTACCCTCTTTTTTGTTTTACTTCTGTCAGAGCGTACAGTAATTTCCCACTTCAGCTGCCAGTAATACCCTCTGAATCCTGGGTTGTTACCCTCTGTGTCCTGTTGTCTTAAGGGAACAGTTCACCTTTGTTGTTCTTGGGTTACTTTCGAGCCCCTGATTCTATTAGGAAGGAGGCGTTGACCTTGCTTTTGAGTTTTAGTTGTATTTTCAGCATGAATTAAGCATGTTCTTGAGTTAGGCTCTCCTTCTTGGGTTCTGCATAAGGTGTTACTTTAATATGGCCCCCAAAGTGCAATCTGGAGAGGCTGATCATTACTGAAAGTTAAAAGCAAGAAAAACAGGCCACAGTTTTCTGATGTGAAATGCTGCAGCAGAAGCCCAGACTCTGTACGGAGTTGGGTTTGTTATCACCTCAGGAGCTAAAGCCAGCCCAGGGATCTGGGCTCAGAGATGAGCAGCAAGCACCGCCCAGGCCTCTCCATGCAGAAACTACAGTGACACGAATCTGTTTGATTTCTTTAGAGAGTGGAATTGGTTTCAAATCAAGGAACTTGAGTGAAAACTCAAAAAGCAAGAAGGAAAATTCTGAAGGAGCATCAGGAAGAGTTTGGGGGAAATGCCATTCATGGTGTTGGCTTTCATTCACCCAAGAAAGGCCTGCTTTGCTTGCATACTATTTAGTCATGGTTTGAAATGTTACTGGTGAAGTCATTTGCTTTCATGGTGTTTGCCAGGGGAATTTTATAATAAAAATGTTGTCATTTTCAGTAAATGGATTTATGAATAAATTGATTTGAAGGAATGAGAAAGTCAAGTTTTTTGGTTTGCTTTAGTCATTCCATATTTTATTTTTTTCCATTATGAACTTGAACAGATGAACCTGAAAATTAGCGTGATTATTTATCTCCTGAGTAGAGCTTTTAAGAGAAGTGCGGCAGGAAGGAATATTTCTTCTCTTGAATGCTTGTTCCTTTCTCGTTTAGTCAGCTTCTTTTTCTGGACGTCCTGAGAATAGGAGTGATCAGTTCTGGGATGAGGGGACTGCTTCCTTTTGTTACGGAAAGAAGCACCTTTAGGAATGGTACAGTACCTCAGAGTTTCCATGAGGGAATTCCAGGATCACTACAATGAATTGTTAAAAATTAGTTAGCTAGTATATATTAAACTTTATTGTGTGGAGCAGATGGGACAGAGGAAGTGGAACAAGATGGAATGGGCCTTGGGGTGGATTTCTCAAAGGAGCTGCCGAGGCAGGCAGTTGTGACAGCCTTGTAGAGACAAACGGGCTGGGGAAGGGGCTACACAGGGTCGGGGTCATCATTTTCAGAGCTAGAGAAGGTTTGGTGGGTGCCTTGGAGATGCTGGGAAGAGAGGGCTGGGCAGCGTCTGGGCTCAGGCTAGTGAGAGCAAGATTTCTGGCAAGAGGAGAGTTTTCTTGGGCTTGCTTTTGACTTGATGCTTCTCCCTTCCACGTAACGAGTGTGTAGCTGAGTTTCTATAGGCTGTTGTGTTTGACCCCTTGAACTCTGTAATGCCCAAAGCAACCATCACATAGGCCATTTCCTCTTTCTAGCATAACTAATATGCAGTAATTTATCGTGACTGTTCTTATGGCCATTTCTTATTACATCCTCTTGAGTGTGTTCTTTTTGTGTATTTGCACATAAAATAAACCTGGGACTAAATATGTATCGACATGTATGCACATATATGTAGAGACATCACATATATATTCAGTATATATACTCATACTAATCTAATTGTAGGTGTGTCTTCAGAAGGTAGGCAAAACACATGAAGCCTTCATTATGTTATTATATTTTGTATTAAAACAGGGAACCATTCTGAAAAATTCTTAACTAATAAAAAAATGATACAACTAAAAATTAGGAGACTGTCCCAGATAAATTATGTAGTTGAATTATGGGCCTGCTCTTACTTGGGCCAAAAGAATGATCCCCAATTCCACCCCCAAATCAAAGCTTTGTTATAAGTATTTCTTTAACGTCACAAGTTGAGAGATCAGACATTTTATTCTGAACGTTGAGGTAAAAGAAAGTTTGAAGCTTGATTTAAATGAGTGCTACAAGTAGACAAATATGAAATGTTAAGAATTGTGAATATTCTTAAAATATATCTAAGGCTTCAAAAACAAAATCTTTTTTAATTTCATAAGGGAAAAATAATTAGAACTCGACCTTAGCTACCAGTAATTGGTAAGAAGCTGGCAATTTCCTTTGCCTGTCAGTTATGACATGTGAAGAAAAGGCCAACAGGGAAAAAACTATGTTGTGTCTTAACAGAAAACTCTGCTGCTCTTCACTTCTAACCCT